ACGTTAGCTATAGGTTTGTCATTAGGACAGAGAAGCTCTTACAAAGTTAAATACTGTGTAAGTATATTGTAGCTACTTGGCTAGAGTTATATAGGCAACTTGGTAAGCAGTAAGACACCAGGCAGGTGTTAAAGGCTAAATCAGGAGGCACCAGGCAGGTGGCTGTTGACCTATATAGTCAGTTGTATATTGAGGCAATTATCATATGGAACCAGGCTGGTGCCGGTATTAACTGAAGATATATAATTGTACAAAGCACTTAGGTCATTTGATTTAGGGACAGATGATACAAACAAACTTTTGTCAAAGAATTTGAAAATTACAACTTGAGTCATGTTTAAATAAATAAAACGAATAACTTTCACCGCGTAGTTTTTAATTTTTCATTCAAATTTGCACAAAAATGGAATTTAAAGTGAAAAATATTTGTATAGATTAATAGGGATGGTTTCAGAAAGGCACACTTTTGAACATCACAGAAGGTTTACAATTTCTTTATATTCTAGAAATTTTATTTGCATTATTTGCAATGAAATTAGGCCAAGTAATATATACCAATCCAGGCATCCATTTTTTTGTTTGTATCATCTGCCCTTAAAGACACCAGGCAAGTGTCATATTATTATCTGTATATATTGCATTCAATCATATCCCCAGTAAAACTCGGTAATCCGAGCAAGGTCCTACTGACCGCTCAGGTCCGACACGTTACAGTAGTTTTAGTTTTGGTTTATTTGTTGACCCCCCAGCCTCCTTAACTGACCAAGTCGAAACGTCCCATTTCAAACATCAAAACAAAGAAGAGACTTAGTGCTTTCAGTTCATATAAAAAAAAATTCGTCTGAGAGTCAAAGAACTACGAACGATAGTATTGTTCTCCCGCCGACCTCTAAGCCAATTCTCAAAAGTTAACATATTCGAATGATTTTCAAAATGTTTATAGATATTTATATAAATTTTCATAAAATGTAACTTATTTGGGATACCAAAGAGAGATAACTCCATAATTTTGGTAAAACTTGTGTTTTTGCTATAGAAATCAACGGAAAACGGAAAATATTTTAGAAACATCTTTCCCCCCGTGAAACAAAAATTCCTTTTTAAAGGTAATATGAACTGTCATTTTACAAATTTATGCCAAAGCTTTTTGTGTTTCACGGGGGGAACATATGTTCATAGACAAAAAACGAAAAAAAATGCCGATTTTTCACCAATTTTAAAGCTATTACAAACTTAATAATTGTATTTTATTAATTTATATATGTTTTGTCTATTTGCGTTAAACATAAGAAAAGATATGAGATACATTTTATCATAATTAAGACTATTTCAAAATATGGTGATTCTTGAAAGTTCGATTTCACTAGAAAATATCGTGTACCCCTCTTTTCTCAAGAGCTGGAATTAATGATAATTTACTATCTTGCTCTGGAATTAAAATGATTAATCAATTACCATAGAACTGTTCTTTGTATTAAACAAAGATTTAATGGCCAAATTGCCATTCATATTGAATTTAATGTGAGCAAAATGTAGGCGGGAATCAAGAGTTAGAGTTCGTAGTTTTTTGGAAACTCAGACGTTGTGAAACTGCAATGCTCTTGATTTTTTAAGAAAATTGGTGAAATTGAGCATCTTTAACTTTTAATGAAAATATGAGCCCACCCCGAGATCGAAAAAAAAAAATTCATGGACAAGAATCCTCTGAAATTGTTCTTCATTATATATTTAAATATTTTAGATCAGAGGTTGGGGGCTATGCAAAATATTAAAAAAACAGCTTAATTTTTTGTCATTTCTAGAGAGTTTTCCAGATATGAGGAAAATGACGAAATTCATGACGTCATTATACATAGACAAAAGACAAAATTATGTCAATTTTATTTGATATGAAGTCACCAAGGGTCCAAGTGAAATTTTACATATTTTCAACTAAAACTGAATTGTTCTGGTTTTTCAAAAATTCACAGGGCCAAAAATGGACCAATGTGACTTTTCTTCTTTTGTGAAAATTAAGATTGTTATATATTTCTAAAATTCAAAATGTTTTACACTATTGACAGCATCCGAGCATTATAGCAATTACTTTAATTTACTTTTTTCTTTATCATATCCATTGCAAAAAATAAATTAAAAATACAAATCAATCATTGCCATTCAAGGGGTTATCAAAAAGTTCGTGCTCTAGAGAGATAAATTAAATCGGTTTAGTTACATCAATGAATTTTAAAATACATTTATATAGTAAGCATCATCTTTTCTATCTATAACACCACACATCATAAGTTTTTTTTCAATAAATTAGTATTGTTTTTGAAAGCAATGGTATGTCCAGGCGGCGCAACCTCAAACAAGACATTTTCTTCAATATAATATGCATTGAAATCAGATGTTCATAACATTGTCATGTCATAGGAACAATACAGGTTTTAGTTTTAACTTAAATCTAAGAAATTTTATCATGATGTATTGAGACAAAAAGAGTAGTCATTGAGAAATAATACCACTGTCGAACGTCATGAGAGTTAACATAACTGCTCCAGCGCCGGGTGATCATATAATGGCTTTTTTATTTTATATTATTTTGGCAATAAGTTTCAAACTCAAATTATCCACACTTCTTAAACTTTTGTTGTTTAATGTTCCGTTTAAATTCATTCATGTCCAGTTACCTTAATCAATTCGATTTTGTCGACACCGCGATGTAAACAATGTTGATACAATACGATATCGTGAAAACATTGTAAACATAGGTATTGTTTGCATAACAACATCGTCAAAGTCGACATCGCGATGTTAACAATGTTGATATGATATCGTGTTTATATCGTCTGTATTGTAATTGTTTCTGCATGACGACGTCAACGTCGACATTGCAATGTAAACAATGTTGAAACGATATCGCGTTTACATTGTCTACATTGTTATGGTTTCTACATAATGATAACGTCAACATCTCAATGTAAACAATGTTGATACGATATCGTGTTTACATTACCTACATTGCTTTTATTTCTACAGAGTATATTCATTGACAACGCAATGAAATTCATGTTAAAATAACTTTGCATGTACTGTACAGATGACAAACACTGTTTCCAAGGTTGGAAATCAGTTTTTAGTCCGTTTTCAGAATGTAAGAGACATGTTTCATACTTGATGTACACTTGTCAAGTTGATGTGGACTCATAAGAGTCAAAGATCTCACTGGTGATTATGTGCAAAAAGTAAACAGAATATTAATATATTGCCTTATCAATTTGACCTCAATTTGATTTTATACGTTTAATGCGTTGTCAATGATTTTACCAAGATAAAAAACAAAAAAGGAAACTTAATGTTGACATGATGACGACTTCATATAGGCCAACACAGATACTAAGTATATAAAAAAAATAATGATAATAATGTAATGTTCACACATCAACTCAATTATCGATCAACATTGCGATGTCGACGATGTGAACGATGTAAACAAGAAAGAAAAGAAGGTCAATGTTGACACGATGTCGACTCGATATTGACCAACATTGTGATGTCGACGATGTGAACGATGTAAACAAGAAAAATAAGAAGTTCAATGCAATGACACGATGTCAACTCGATGTCGACCAACATTGATGTGTCGACGATATGAACAATGTAAACAAGATTTTGAAAAGGGGCAATGTTGACACGATGTTGACTCGATATTTGTGGTACGTATCGTATCATGAACTGAATACCGTGATACGTATCATCTCCTGGGGTAGGCGTATCGTTGGACCCCTATTCCAGAATATCCCAAACTTTGTTGGGAAGAATAATTATAACAGTCTTTTAAACAGTGTGTAGTTACCTGTACCTTAACTTTAAAGCAAGCCATTAACCTTGGATCTTTGGATTTTTTTCTTATGAGAGGCTGACTGTATGCTGAACCTGTAAAACAAATATTCATACAGTAGATTATTTCTAAGCATAACTAAAACTTAAACTACAATAAAGAGAGAGTACAAGATTGTAGCTTCTCTATATAGTCTTAAATGTCTTACAATTTAACTGAAACTAGGTTCTCTATAGTGTTGGAAATTTTTTTTATAAATGTCAGTCAATGAATACTTAGATTGATTGATTGATTGTATATTGTTTAACGTCCCTCTATGAATACATAGATGTAAACATTCAATGGATTAGCTATCTGATGTACTTTCAACACATACACATGCACATGTATTTGTATCTTGAAAGTTGTCACTGTTTTTATCAATTTTTTGCTGAAATTCAATTTACCCCCTGAAGTTCTCGTATAGTTTCATAGCTTTTAAAGCCAGCAAATTCTATTCATACTTTCCTATTTTAAAAGTTCATATTGGATAAAAATTGTTTTATAATGTAGAATAAAACTTCTATATACTACTGAGTTAAATTTTTTTTTATGAAGCCATGCAAACAGAGAAGAATTATAAAAGAACAAAAAGAAATTATGAAGAAATATTTCGTCATAAAGGAGTCATTACAGATATACTCTTTGATTTTTTTATTGCAAGTATTTATTATTTTTACCTTTAAGATTGTGATTATGCAATCGTTTGTCAAAATCAGCTTTAGGATCAATCGCAAGAAACAAAACTATGCCTCGCAAAGTGAAGATTGTGACCATGTCATTTGATTCGGAAAAAATCACATAATTAAGTTATACACTTCATGTGTTGTGATTATATGAAATAACAAGAACAACCTTTTAAGAAAGGAAGAAAAAATCCTTGGATAATGCAAGAGACACAGATATTCTAAATAATGAGCCAATAAGATATCTTTTCTACATTTTTGATTTAAACAAATATATATAATATTAATACAGTGTTTTAATTTGCTCCCTGATGAACATAAACATGATTCTGTAAAGAGGTTATTAGAACAGAGAAGGAGAAAAAAGGGTTTAGAGATCAGATGCTCTTAGAGTCTTGAATTTCAATCACATTTTTTCACACTCAAAAATAACATACACTGTATTTATATAGGACATGGATTTACTATATCGACTGAGTTTATGGATGAGAAGCTAATATTCAGATGGTCAAATATTTCAAAACAACCTAATGATATTATGGTTTATACTGATGGTCAACAAATTGCAGCTCAATATATAAGAACCAGTGATGACCAATACATTGTGGAAAATGTAATGAATCATACAACTGTAAGGATCAGCATTGTGGAGTTTACCAAGCCAAATAATACGGAATACATGAAGACATATGCCCACAACGGTAAGTTTGTTATATATATAGAAAGCACAAAGAAATTCACTTTTACATGGATACCCACTTCCGCCCCAGACCGGGGTTGAACTCTCGACCTTCGGAATCTGTCTCCTAGCAGTGCAGGAACAGCGCGCTAGACCGCTTGGCTATCTAGACAAGTTAAAAAACTTGCTTTCGATGCCGATGGAATTCTCGCGGCGCTTCCCTACACTACACGGTCATTGAGAATAGAAGTGAGATACAGTTATTTGGACATTAGTTTTAACAGAGGATTGTTACCAATACATGTTGTAATGAAATTAATTATTATTTATAAAGCACAATTTACAACAAGGGCAGCGCCGCGAGAGTTCAACCCCGGCCTGGGGCGGAAGTGGGTATCCATGTTAAAGTGAATTTCTTTGTGCTTTCTGTATTAATATTTCTTCACTTAGGGCAGTTATGTTAGTTTAAGAGTTATTGCAAAGTGTGCCTCATTTTTCTTTTAATAAAAAGAATATACACATACCTAATAATAAACGTTTATTATTAGGTATGTGTATTTTTTTTTTAATTAAAAGAAAAATAAGTAACGTCAGGTGCCTGTGTGTTGTGCTTTTCCATTTCATATATTTACTTCCATGAAGTGAATCTGTAAAGTTATATATGTTTTTCATGTTTTAATATATAAAGTTGCTTATTATTCACAGACCGAAAAAAGACAGGTCCCTTTTTTTAGAACTCCGAATTTTACTTGCCGCATAAAAACGAACTCTTCACATATTCTTAAAGTGAAATACATATTTTGAATATAGGCGATGTATGTGCCTGCATGATTTCAATATATATTTTATGCATCAAAATTTATTTGAGGAATTGATGAATTTTAAAACTTAAAGGGTATCGTTTTTTGTTCGATTTTCATCCGATTATAAGTTTTCAAAATATTCTCGATGATCATCTCCATTTAGACGCATACCTTTTTCACACTTTTCGTAGCAGTTTGATGATCAAGACTCATTTCCATAGTTTACTTTATTTATTTCCCAGGCGACAAATGATGGTTACATCAATGTTTTCTTGTGTGTTTTTTATTTAGATAGAAAAATTTTTTAACTTTAGTGTGGACGCTAAACAAACAAAAGATAAAAAGCTTCGAGATTCCGAGATAGTGTAACATTGTATTAACAAAATGGTTAAGATGCCTTTGAAGAGAGTCCAATTAGTCTAGAGCCGTAGTATTAAAGGATATACCTATCTGCATGGCCTCATACAAAAAAATTTTATTAACACTAGTGCTATACAATTTAATTATTGCTTTAGACGTATATAAATAAGTACATTCCAACACAATTTACCTAAATATGAAAAGCCGCGATTGCATGCAGGTAAGCTCACGCCATTACATTTCCATTTTTAATTTTTTCTCTGTGATAAATTTTTCAAAGTTAGTGGAGTTGATTCCTATATAATTCTACCGGAATGGTAATTAGGCAGGTCAATAGCTAAGTTGGCCAAATATGCATGGAAATCTCGGGCGGCTGTCTGAGTATTTGACATCAGTGGGCGAGGACTTTTGAAATTGGTATGGGAGTCCTCTTGTAATTTTAATCCATGTCTACATTTTAAAAATCTAAATATACAATTTTAATTCACAATGAAATGGTATTATAAGGAATCACTGTCTAGTTAGTATAGTATATGCCAGGAGCATCAATTATCGTTGACGCCCTGGCATATTATACTAACTAGACAGTGTTTCCTTAATCAAATACATGTACACTACATGTAGATTTCGTCAAATGACTGCAATACACCTATCATTGATCAAACTATACAATTTTTTTCATTTTAGAACTTTTCATAAATCTGAGTTGGAATCCAGACAATCGTTAAATAGAAATATCATTGATTAATCTGACGCGGTATGATAAATTTCGGGAATTTAGAAAGTTCATTATTTCAAACCATGCGTAATGATACAATTTAATTTTTCAATCAATTTACAATTAGAAGTCGAGCTCATATGCTAAAGCATGACGTGTGACTCTCCGCTATATTTTTCTATCAAGCAGGTGAGAATTTGTATTTGGGAATATGATCGCGAATGGCCAAGTCATTCCGACATTTGGAATCTACTAGTATATTACAGAAACCAATTTCTATAACGTTTTTGTTCGATTGTTGTATCCAAGTGTTACCCCCCCCCCAAAAAAAAAATAAAAAAATGACATAAATGTTGATCTATTATTCCTCAGTTCTGCAGCATTACTATCATTACTGCTTTTGATACAGTCTGATTTACTTGAGAAAAAATAATATAAACACGTTTAATTAATGATACTTAATTTTTAAATATGGAATAAACTGTCTCAAAACAAAACTTCATTATGTAAATGAGCCTGGTGCATGTTTATGTTTGGTAGTAGACAAGATTTTATTATTTATGATTTAACCCTGAAAAACCAATTTTATACACCATGAGGTCATCAACATGAAAGTAATATTTATTCTATTATATGGGGATCGATTTTTTTGCGAGGGGATGGCCCGCAGTGCCCTAATTTTCGGACTTCTCTCTTTTTTAATGGTATTTGGGGGGAGGCATTGTATCAACACAATAAAGATTGTACTTAAAAAGTTGGTAATGTTTAGAAACGTACTGAGTTCGAGACCCGCAACGACAAATTACATTATCATTGAGTCACGCCAACTTTGATTTGAAGATTCTTAATTATTTTAAAAAATGCTCATCAAATACTGGAAAAATGATATAAATCATTATATTTAAAAATAAATTAACTTATGCATATTTGCATTTAGAAAGTAACCAGGTTATATAAGGGTCCGTTTTCTAGTATACGGCACTTATAAATTAATATCATAATCATTTAGTATAAAGATTTTAAAAAAAGAGTTGGGGTCTCTTTTGTTCTATCTAAAGTCTTTCCTTGTAATTGCTGGCTATAGGATTAATGCTTGCTTACTTTATTGTACTGATATTAAAATTATTTGAATAAATATGATTCTTTTATAAGCATTTTCCTTGCATCCTTTGACCTTGGTTAAACAGGTGCTTTTTTATTATCAATTTGACGATTTTTTTCTGACGCAACTATTTTACGTCTTGGTTGACGTCATAGTATGGCATCCTTGACGTTATAGTCGTAACGTTATTCGGTGTCGAAAGGGTTAAGCTTTAGCGCTTTCATTTTCAATCTTCAGAAGCTTTCAATAGTATCATAGTAACAGTGATTATGATCGCATGTTAAGCGTAACGTTAAATGTCTATTATGACGTCATAGATACAATATGACAAAAGTACGGGGAAATCACAAGAAATTTATAAAACACTATTAAGTTCTGGCTGAAAAATACTAATAAAATGTTTTTCTTTTTCCCGTCTCTGAATATCAGTGGCACAACTGAGTTTATAGAAAGGGAAATTTTGAATTGTTTTTTACCACACGCCTCCAGGTGGGAACTTAATTGAATTTGTCTGTATTCGGGTGTACTAATGTGTTGCTTATGTACACGTACACGGGCACGGAGATTGTTGCCGGTTTCACTAATATAATATTCCTTGCATCCAGGTCATGTGATGACATAAATGACATTTTTTGTATCGCATGACATGTTTTCTTTAACTCTAAATTCACGCCCATTGAAATTATAGCTGGTCCCTTCTGTAATGTATTCGCATGTACCGCATAGAGGGTTCTTACACTTAGACACTGTATAAGTATGGTCGTTGAACTTGGAAGAACAAAGTATTCTCCTTAGGTTTTTGGGTTGGTGTTTACTGTTGATAAAACGACAATTCTTGTAAACGCTTTTCGTTTGTTCGTCCTATCTAAGTACGTTGTTCAATTCATGAATAATTAAACTCACGTTTTGATTTCTCGGGTTATGCGTGTGCACAAATGGAATTATTTCAACGTCGTTCGCACGTCGTTTGTTTAAAAGTAACTGACTTCTATTGCACTCCTTGGCTTTCTTTATACCATTATATACAAGTTGTTCTGGATATTTTTGGTTCAATAAATACAATTTTAATTCCTCCAGTCATTTTGCATTTTGGATCAAGCCATCCCCATCACACTTAAACAGCTATACCATATAACCTCGCAAGAAGGATATGCACCATTGTGAGTAATACCAATATCAGGGATATTCGACCGGAAGAATTAAAATTGATTTCTTTTTACCTTTTTTAATACTGTTATCCGATTACTGAGACATTATTTAAATTTTCGATATATATATATATATATATATATATATATATATATATATATATATATATATATATATATATATATATATATATATATATATATATATATATATACTTGATTTTTCACCATCTGTGACATATATATATATATATATATATATATATATATATATATATATATATATATATATATATATATATATATATAAAATAAAGAATAAGAAACTAAATCAAGCTTTAAAATCGATTGAAACAGCAACAACTGGGACAAGAGAATATAATATTATAAAATAAAGAATAAGAAACTGAATCAAGCTTTAAAATCGATTGAAACAGCAACAACTGGGACAAGAGAATATAATATTATAAAATAAAGAATAAGAAACTGAATCAAGCTTTAAAATCGATTGAAACAGCAACAACTGGGACAAGAGAATATAATATTGCCAACTTTCTATAATACATTGATGATTTGATTGATTTATTATTCATTTACACATGTATTATAAATCATGTATTTGTCAGCATTTTATTGAAGACTTGTTGAAGACTTTCATATATATTTATAAATCACAGAAGTCAAAAGCATAAAAACACATTTGCAACATAATTTTGACCCCGGGTTAATCTAATTATAGTATGAAATGTCTTTGCAATATCCCATGTGTCCTGAGTCAAGACTATGCTGTTAAACCCCTGGCATACGAAACATATGGCGATAACAAACAGTATTCTAGATCATTCAAAAATAAACAAGGTAGGAAAAGAGCGAACATGGACCTCCAAAACA